GAAGAACTGGATAGACATTTTTACAAAGGCAAATGTTGGCCTGGATGTGGAGAAAAGCAAACCCTTGTACACTTCTGAGAATGTAAATTGATATAACCCATATGGAAAATCAAATGGAGGTTTCTCAAAAAAATTAAAAATAAAACTGTCATATGATACAACAGTCCCTCTACTGTCTATATATTCATGGAAAATGAAATCACTTGTATTGAAGTGTTATCTGCATCCCTATGTTTATGGCAGTATTATCTAGAATAGTCAAGACACGGAAACAGCCTTAGTGTCCATAGATGGATGAATGGACAAAGAAAAACGTGATGTGATGTGATATACAAACACACACTGAAATAAAATCCAGCTATAAAAAACAAGAAAGTCTTACTATTTGCAACAGTATGGATGAAACTTGAGGGCATCATGATGAGTAAAATAACTCAGACAAAGAAAGACAAACACTGTATGATCTCACTCATCTGCGGAATCTAAAAACCCCAAACTGATAGAAAGCAGGTTGGAGGTTGCCAGAGGCAGGTGGGGGAGGTTGGGGCTGAGTGAAGATGGACAAAGGGTTACAAACTTATCGCTACAAGAGGAGTAAGCTCTAGATGTAATGGACAGCATGGTGACTATAGTTAGTAATACTATACTGTATGTTTGAAAGTTAGGAAGATAGATCTTAAAAGTTCTCGCCACACAAACACAAACTTATGTGAGGTGATATGTTAACTAACTTTATTTGGGTAGTCATTTTGCAACAGATAGATATCTAATTGTTACACTGTACACAACTGTATGTCAGTTATTTCTCAATAAAGCTGGACAAATGAACAATATTTTAATCCAGAGCCAGAATTACCGAGCCCACATGTCGAACTGACCGAAGCCTGAGCGTGCTAGAGCCCATGCTTGCAACAGGAGAAGCCACCGTAAAGAAAAACCCATACACAACAACCAGAGAAAAGCCCATGCAGTGGAAGACCCAGCACAGCCAAAAATAAACAAACAAGTGCAAATTTTAAAAATAAATAAATAACCAGTGGGACAGAATGAAATCACATGAAAAATTTAGAAACATTTTGATGTATGTAAAGATAAAAATAAAACACATCAAAATTTGTGGTATGTAGCTAAAGTGATGTTTAGAGGGAAATTCATAGTACTAAACATTTTTATTATAAAAAGACAAAGATCTAAAATCAGTGAGCTATGGTTCCATCTTAAAGTGACTAGTAAAAGAAGAGCTAATTAAATCCAAAGGAGCAGAAGAAAATAAGAAAAAAAAAGTATGAAAATAAATTCTNGAGAGCCAACCAGTCCATCCTGAAGGAGATCAGTCCTGGGTGTTCATTGGAAGGACTGATGCTGAGGCTGAAACTCCAGTACTTTGGCCACCTCATGCTAAGGGTTGACTCATTGGAAAAGACCCCGATGCTGGGAGGGATTGGGGGCAGAAGGAGAAGAGGGTGACATGAGATGGCTGGATGGCATCACCAACTCGATGGACATGAGTTTGAGTAAACTCTGGGAGTTGGTGGTGGACAGGGAGGCCTGCTGTGTTGCGATTCATGGGGTTGCAAAGAGTCGGGCACGACAGAGCGACTGAACTGAACTGTTTTTATACAATCTGTATACAGTCTCTATCAACACTGCATTATGACGAGAAGATACCATTTGCTTTCTTGGCTTTCATAGGCAAATGTAGATTCACATTCTCAAATTTTGCAGATATCCTAAAGGCATATCTTGAATACTTCACAATAAAACATTATTTCTAAAGCACCATATATGATTAAAAAAAAATTTTTGTCATCCAATTGTTAAGTAGTTTAACTCTAGGAGATCTTTATGTTATTTGAAGGGTTTTCCCATGTCACTTTCACTAACAATGACATCCTACAACTTTTCAAGATCTACAATCTATCTTTTTAATTCATTTGCACAAATTTTCATTAGGTTACTGCAGTCCAACAACCATCTAGAGATTTACCTACAAAAACTTTGTAGAGATGGGTAGAGACAAACTTAGGTGCCAGAAGACAATGTTGTTTGGGGACAGATGTTGGCAACTAGTTCCATAAATGTTCAACATATTTGTGAATATTTTCCTATCATACCAACAGTTGTTTTTCCATGCATTATTAAAGTGTAAGATCTCATTTAATGAAAGTTTATTCACTCCTAGAGATTATTCACTCCTTGTATTATAGATTCAGAAGGTTTGAGTGACATGACTCAGGGACACAGGAGCAAATGTCAGAGAACAAACCTAGGTACACTTAATTTGTTTTGTTTTCAAAATATCATTAAGTAGTAAAATACAGATATGTCTAAGACATTTCATCCAATCACAGAAGAGTTTTCTCTATTCCGAAGGTCACATAAAGTTAATTATTTATCTCCCCCTTTGCATGATGTGTACATGCAACTAAGTTATGACATATATTTTTATTATAAATGATAGGAAACTGAATCTCATGTGTAATAAATTATTTTAAAAAGACATACAAGGAAGTAACCACTCTCAAACATTTGTGAAAATTTCTATGACTCTCTTCTGTATTTTTACTTCTTTATATTCTCTCAGGAATTTAAGTCTATGAAGTTAACCAAAATTTTACATCTAAAATGGAGACTTCTATTTAAATAGTGCCTTTTCCCAGTTAATGAACCCTTAAGATATTGATCCATTCTTATTCTAGTAATGCTACATAAAAATCTTTCAAAAAATAATGCATTTTAGGTGCCTGCCCCAAGCAAAAACACAAAGTGAAAGTGTTGTACTAATACAAAATGTCAACAGTGGTACAATACAATGGTACACACTTGCTCTTCTTAAATCAGCTTTGTTTTTTTAAGAAAATGAACAAACAACCGAACAAACACAAAATCCCTCACAATATGAACAGTGAAACAAAGCAGAACTCTGGAGAACTAACCAAAGAAACCAAAAATCCCACTGTAATTTCTTGCTGAGCACCGAAGAATTGCTGCTTTTGAACTGTGGTGTTGGAGAAGACTCTTGAGAGTCCCTTGGACAGGCTGAGAATCCCAACCTGTCAATACTAAAGGAAATCAGTCCTGAATATTCACTGGAAGGACTGATGCTGAAGCTGAAACTCCAGTACTTTGGCCACCTGATGCGAAGAGCTGACTCATTAGAAATGACCCTGATGCTGGGAAAGATTGAAGGCAGGAGGAGAAGGGGATGACAGAGGATTAGATGGTTGGATGGCATTGCCAACTCAATGGACATGAGTTGGAGCAAGCTTCGGGAGTTGGTGATGGACAGGGAAGCCTGGTATGCTGCAGTCCATGGGGCCACAAAGAGTCAGACATGACTAAGCAATTAAACTGAACTGAACTGAAATTTCATTAGGGAAGAAGGAGTCTGTGGTACATGGGAAGACTCAGGTGAGTATGAGAAGATTATCACATCTAAGGTGGATGATTTTGAAGAAAGAATGGAAAGAATATTACGCAAAACTGAGTTAACTTTTTTCTTTATCCAATACTTCACCTTTAACTAGAACCCTGTATATTACAAAGGACCTCTGCTTTCTAAAATATGCTTTCGTCTTTAACCCACAGTTATTTCATGAAGGGAAGGAAATGCAGAAGTGCTTTCAAACATGGATGCAGTTTGAATTACATGAGTCACTATTTTCCTTTATAGATTTTGCTTAAGGGGTTTCAAACCATGATTCCTAGAACAAAGTCTCTGAAGATGACCCCAAAACACCATGACGAATCAGAGATTATTTCAATACATCATATTCATCCATAAATTTATAAACTGCAGTTTAAAAAAAAAAGTTTTCATCTAACAGATTGCCTCATTCAATTAAAATCAAATATCCTTTTATATTTATCAAAATATACCTTCAAAATTATGAATTAATCAGCTATACATTAATAATTGTAAAAAAATGATCTGATTCCTTAGAGTCACAGGAAATTTTAAAAATTAAATCTTCAATTTATATACATTCTTATTGTGTAAGTGTGTTTAGTTTACCAGCAAAAGTATAATTCATTAAAGTGCAAAATTATACTGAATTTGGTAAAATTCTGCAGGTTAGGCAGGATATAAGTTCTAGTTCCAGCAGACAAAAGAGTGATATAAAATTTCGAACTGACCATGAAAATTACAAAAGACACAAATATATGAGGTTGGTTTCAAGAAACTATGATATTTAGATTCCAGCAGATATGTTTAAAAGTTACATTAATTTTAAAATGTCAATATCTGCAATATGTTAGAAATTGCAGCCTTTGGAACTATTTAAAGTTCTGATAAAACTTTTTCAATGCCAGCTTTAAAATGTGTGAGTGGGTATATGGTTTTCAAAATACTTTTAGAATTTGTATAGATCATTGCCCTGCACTACGGTAATTTTACAGATTACCAAACAGGCTCCCTATTCTGTACCCAAAAATGAATGCTTTCTTTCAACAGTAATCTCTTCAGAGCATAGACATACAGCCCATAACTCTGATTTTTTTATTGAATTATAGCTTTCAAGAAAAAATGTTTGGAAATATTTCTGATTTAGAGAAATATTAAAATCTCTAAGAGTTTTAAAAACTAACAGTTTTTTAAAAATGTATTCATTCTGGTAAAAATGTACCAAAAATCTAATTTTTAAGTGCACCAGAACTATTTGAAGAGCTCCCTTGTTTGCTAATGTGATTTACAAAAACTTCCCCAATGATGACCTAATTTGTGCTAAGGGAATGAACACTCTTTTTAATATGGATCTATGCAAATTTAAAAGTAGGTATGACAGTTTGGCTCATAAATACTTCATAGATTATTTTTAAGCCAAGTTTTAATTATTTGGCATTACAGATACTTGTGGTTCTTGCTTTGCTTCCATCTTCAGTAGTGATAATTGAGTATTTAAGTGACTCTGTAATTTGCAAACCCATTACTAAGTAATCTTTAATATTTTAATTTGATCATTAGCCACATGTCAAATTTTTTGAGGAATAGTACTTACCCTCTGTTACATTTTGCTATTTCATCAAACAGAAGTTTCCACCGAGGACGTCCAATAAAAAGTCTTGAATTCAGTGCTTGATATTTTTCTCCAATTATCTTCTGCCAAAAAGAAAGCACTATGTTTTATATGATACAGAATTGGGCAAATAATTCATTTCTATAACATCATCTTTCCTGGTGCTGTGTTTCCTACTAAATTGCTATGGCATAAAGAATATAAGTGTCAAATGGCAACCTATTAAGTATAATCATTTGGAAGTACCATTTCCTCCCTCTTTCCCTTTAAAATCCATTATCTTCTTGAATATCATTAGTACAAATGACTGACTTTCCTAGACTTCAGTTAGTTGCTTGAAGCCACTGCAGCATTAAAGAATGCATTCTAATTGCCTACTCTCAAAGAGCGCGCAACACATAAGCTTTGTTGAAGCATTTTTGTACTGCAAAGTTGTCATATTTGGCTCATTATATGAGTAAGATACTGCAAATTGTCATCATAAATTTGGGGAAATGATCCTGAACATGACAGTCTATTACAGCAGAGTTCCAAATTTGGAATCTATCAAAAAACAACTTCTAATGGACTGCTGTTTGCAATTAACAAGAGTATTAGATCTGAATAGATGGTAAAGAGAGTCAAGTAAGAAAGAAAAATGTCCGAGTCCCAGGGAGACAAACTGAGAACAAGATGTAATTTATGCTTCATATCTTAATCACTGCAAAACCATGAGGCATAATGATACTGATTTGCTTCATGACAGTATAAAATAAAATGTTTTTACATACCAAGTAGGGTAGAAATCTGACTAAAAAAATAGGCTTAGATTAGTTTTGAAGTAACAGACAAGCATTCATATTTTGCATTCAAAGAATTACAGAAAATATAAGATGGAAAATACAACAATAAAACTTGTGAAAGCATTCATGCCCAGGTTTATACGGCTATACATCTCCTCAAAGTTGTCTATATACAGTTTCCTCATCTATGATATGGGGATCAAAATATCATTTACCTCTTGTATCTGTTGGAATTACATGAGATAATGTGTATGAGATGCTCAATATAGCGTCTAGCAGTGAAGTAAATAATGCATGATGGATGTTTCATTTTTTAGTTTCCTTTGAAGAGAAACAAACTTAATTGTGTATGACCTTATCTTCTCTTGCCACAGAAAACCTCCCCTCGGTGAACACGATCACAAGACTATTCACTTGTGTTCTCATCTCTAGGGAGGTGACGGTGAAAAGGACAGACACGAGCTCAGAGGTCCACTTCAGTCCCAGGTGAGGACAGATGAAAGGCAGAAAACGGTTGACTTCAAGGATGAGCCATGAGTTTGCTGGATACCTTCCAAAAGTGGCTTTCCTCTGGGAATTGTCTCTTCAAACCACCTGCAGAAATTTTCTTCCAGCACAGCCCCTACAGTAAATCTTCTGTTCTCAAGAGACGTGTTTAATTTACAGTAACATCCAGGCACATACCTGTATCCCATCTGTCTGACTGAGGTACAGCTGAATGTTGACATAATCAGGTCTGTTCTCTTGCCAAAACTGAGAGGACATAAAAGTAAATAGACATTAAACTGTGTTCTATATTCACAGACTCTCTCCTAACCTAACGTATGTGATTCTGCAATCTGTTAAGATGTATCTGGTCTTACCACAGCCAACATCTACGAGCAAATGTGTATACATACACACGTGTACATGCACCACATACATGGCATTCTAACATTAATAACCTGTCCCTGGCAGATTTAATTAGTTACGATGAAGGAAATGGATGAGATTAGTTCTGCTATCTTCAGAGACACAAAATCAAATATGCTAAATACTATAGTAGTATTCCTTTAAATCCTCTCATTTATTTCTTGTTTTATTTGCTGAGTCTCTAAATTTTACTCAAGATTTCACTCAGAAAGAACATGTTTTTCTTTACAAAAAAGTCAAAAGTGATACACAAAATGCATGCTAGGCATCACAGAAACCAAAACAAATGAAAACAAGTCTGGTGCACTGGGAAGACCCAGAGGGATGGGGTGGAGAGGGAGGTGGGAGGGGGGACCGGGATGGGGAATACATGTAAATTCATGGCTAATTCATGTCAATGTATGACAAAAACCACTGCAATGCTGTAAAGTAATTAGCCTCCAACTAATAAAGAAAAAGAAAAAAAAAGAAAAAAAAAAGATGTATCTGGTCTTACCACAGCAAACATCTACGAGCAAATGTGTATACATACACATGTGTACATGCACCACATACATGGCATTCTAACATTAATAACCTGTCCCTGGCAGATTTAATTAGCTATGATGAAGGAAATGGATGAGATTAGTTCTGCTATCTTCAGAGATACAAAATCAAATATGCTAAATGCTATAGTAATATTCCTTTACATCCTCTCATTTATTTCTTGTTTTATTTGCTGAGTCTCTAAATGTTACTCAAGATTTCGCTCAGAAAGAACATGTTTTTCTTTACAAAAAAGTCAAAAGTGATACACAAAATGCATGCTAGGCATCACAGAAACCAAAACAAATGAAAACAAGGTAGGAACGGAGCCATTCCCACCTTCCTCCTATGCAGCACTGATTTTTCCCTTATATAAAAATGTATGAGGCAGAGAGTGTATCTGCCAAAATAAAAGCATCTGGGAAAGCTCTCAAACACTTTGATATCTTGAAAAATAAATGGACCAAGAAAAATATCTGAAGAAAAGTGAATTCAACAAAGTGGGTAAAAGGGTTTTGACCCAGATGCTTCTTTCATCCAGAAGGCAAAATGAATCTGCTCATGACCCTGGCCTTGCTCTGGCTGAATCCAGACTTGCGAAATCTACATTTAAAAAAATATTTTTCTTCTCAGGGTCTCCTTTCACCACCCTGAAACAAAGAAATGCTGAAAGAGAAGGAAAAGAATTCAAAATCAGAAGAGAAGGAAGGAACACAACAACCATGGTGCATTCTGGAGAACAGAGATGAGTGTCTGATGTGTAGGCCCTGAGGAAAGGCCTAGAAGAGACCAGCACATTTGCAGCAGCCAAACTATTTCCTGAGCATCAGTGTGAACAGTAGGTTTGCTGGTGATGGGACAGTTTTGCTGGATCTTATTGCAGCAAATGAACCAACTGATTGCAAGTGCTGTTTCCATTATTCATTGGAAAGACTTGCTGAAGCTCCAATACTTTGGCCACCTGATGTGAAGAGGTGACTTATTGGAAAAGACACTGATTCTGGGAAAGACTTGAGGGCAAGAGGAGAAGAGGGCAAAAGAGGGTGAGATGGTTGGATGTCATCACTGACTCAACACGAATTTGAGCAAACTCCAGGAAATAGTGGAGGACAGAGGAGACGCGTATGCTACCATCCATGGGGTTGCAAAGAGTTGGACGTGACTTAGTAACTCAACAACAACAATTGTTTCTATAGAGCGTGAAAATAATGATTTTTAAGGGGTATACGGGGACTCAAACTGAAAGTTTTAGGAATGCAAAAGAAGTTATTTTGCAAATACAGAGTGACCAAGTGAGGTTCCAGCACCCCTCTGGCACCCTTTACAGTAGTAAGGGCACCTGGAAGGGGACTACGAGACTTGTTTGTATTGCCATCACTGTCTGACCTGGAGACTTCTAGAGAGGTACTCAACCTACATAGGTCCCCGTTTCTTCATTAGGACAATGACCTCGTCTCACAGGTTTTCTCCAGAACTAAAACTACACATTCTCTGATAGGTGGCAACGCTAAATTATAAAATCCCAATAAGAACCTATTTTACTTTGAAAGTGATAAGTGATGATTCTCAGAACCCATAATATAATATAATCATTATATTCCATGCCACAGATGCCTCAAACTATATCCAAAAACTAAAGTCATTTTAAAGTTAACTCTAGTTATTAAAAAAAAAAAAAAGCCCTTTAGGAATTGAATCAGGGTGCACGGATTTTAATTGTGAGGGACTGGAGGAATTTCCAAGTACCAGTAATGGACAGCCCCTCACAAAACACATGACTTGCATTTATTTTTGTCTTAAATGTCTCCTGGGATGCTGCTCTGAGATCAAGCCAATAACTGCTGCATCAAGGACGTGTTCAGTGCCCACAGGCTCCAGAGGGAAGAATGCAAATTTAAAGAACACATTTTTAATATCAATGTCTCCACTTTAGCTTATCCCTCATTGTAGACAAAAAATAGTATCTACTAAAACACACACACACATACACACACATGCTAAATTTGGTAACTCATTTGCAAATGCAGAAAATAATAAAAGCCTTTTCTTTTTAACATCATCCTCAGAGGGTCGAAGGACTAGTGTCCATCCTCTTGATGTGAAAAATCAAAACGGGTGTGTAGAGGTGTGTGCAGAAGATAATCAACACCACATTGTTTACACTAGTTTTAAGTATTTATATTATTTATTCCATGGACTCCTAAGGATTAAAGATATCCGCCAAAAAACTTGAGAAGAAATTTTAAGATTCAGCTACTTTGACTATCCAGCCATTTATATATTATTTCCTTTATTCCTTTTCTGCTCTGCGACTTGCCCCACAAAGCATCTATTATTTAAATGTGCTCTTGGATACAATTATAAGCTCTATACTTTTTCAAGAAAGAAATTTTAATCTAGAAAAACAGACAAAGGTAGAAATGGGAACTCCAACAAGAAGTACAAGTGGTTGATAAGCATAGGAAGAGAGGTCCAATCTCATTTGTTTCAAGGAAAAATACAGTGAGATCCCCTAGTTTAAGAAATGGCTAGAAATGTAAAAGATCGGTAATATAACATTTGGAGTAAATTTCTCTTATATCCTTTGGTGGAAATGTAAATTGTTTTAGCATCTATGGGGGCATTTTGTCAGTATCTATTACAAATTTAAATTCTTTCCTGAAGTCCTCATAGCCTCCAACTCAGGAAGTCCGGTTTTAGACATTAATCTAGAGAAAACATACTTGAAAGTGGTGACCATGCTCTTCTTGAAAGATTTTCCCCTCTTAACCTTAAGTACAGAACTACTACCTCTTGATTTCCTACCACCTCACTGGCCACTCTGATTAATCTCCTTTCCTGACTTATTACTCATTTTCTGCTCCTCTGGAAGCTGCAGTATCCCGAGAATTGTATTTTCACATTCACTCTCAAGATGACCTACAATCATATTAGTCTGCTCAAATCCTTTCAGTGGCTTCTCATCTCTCTGCTTTTTTTCTCCTGATTTAGCAGGCCCTTGGTGAGTCCCAGGAATCAGCACTTTTTTTTTAAATTGTGGTAAAATACACATAGCATAAGATTGATCATTTTAGCTGTTTTTAAGTATATAGTTGATTAGCATTAAATATGTTCATATTGTTGTGCAACCATCATCACCAATCTGTTTCCAGAATTTTTTCATCTTTCCAAACTGAAACTCTATATTCATTAAACAGTAACTCCCCATTTGCCCTCTGGGAAACCTCTGGCAACCACCATTCTATTGTCTGTCTCTATGAATTAGACTACTCCAGGTCCCTTATATAAAAGGAATCACAATATTTGCCCTTTTGTGTCTGGTTAGATAGAAATACACTTTAAAAAAGCAATTTGCGGAACAATATAAATAGTATGATAGAATTTTCAGAATGCTCATGAGTAACATCTGGTTACGTGGATTGGACAGAGATGTTGCTTCAAGTAGATTATTACAAAAATCTGTAGCAACGATGCATATATGTATTACCTGAATAACCTAAAAAATAGATATATTAACAGAGAAGTAAAAGTTGTAGGTAAGACGGACGAAAATGCCTGCTTTCATCTCTGAAAGGAATACAGCTTAGAATTTGGGATTTTTGAAATTCTGTATACTGGGCCAAAAGTTGGCTGATGATCCACTTGGAATGTTGAAGTTGGAGATACGAACTATGAGAATAAAGGCTGAAAACTGTAACATTAATTGTCTGCAGATGTTTTCTTCCATCTGTCCTTAGTCACAATCCCATTTGCATTCACATTTGCATAATATGTTTCCAATATGCATGTATTACCAACCATATGCATTCATTTCCATGTTAAAACATTCTATGTTAAAACATGTCCTAGATATACAAATTCACAGATACCAATATCTGGAAAGATGTTCTCCAAATTATTAAAAGATTGTATCTCCGTTTTTTTTTTTAAGCTTAAGGAATATTTTTCCTCTTCACTACTCCTCTGCATATTATTCGATAGTGAGCACCTATTACTTTTATAATCTGAAATAAAATGGCTACTTTTAAAATTAGAAAAGGCTGCAAAAGTAAAAACAAACCTAATTTTACCTTGTTATACAACACACAGAGCAAGTCTGCAAACCAGCAGAAGGACTGGATATCTCTGCATACCCAAATAAAATACAATCTTCTAAGCTTGTATGGTTTCCAGTCATCCCTTTAAAAATGAAATAACACAGAACTGATTATGATGGCAAAAGAATTAAGAATCCCTATATCCTTGAAATTTTGCTTCTCATTAGTAAGTAATCTACAGAGAAAACAGTCATTTACATTCTAGTATCTGATACACCACTTACTCTAACTCTCAAATTAATTTAAAATATAATATACTGAGTCAGAGATATAATATAATCCATGAATTAAAGTGCTCATGCTTGTGGATACTATATGCATATTACCCATTTCCAATTGAAGGCAATAAACTAAACTCTTGGATCAGCTCTGCGTCTCAGGAAAAAAGTTTTCTTATTTTTCTGTTAATTCTATCACTCAGAAGGGCGCCAGTGGTCATCTTGCCCTGGGTTCCAGGCAAAATGAGCCAAAACCATCCCAGAAAGCTGGTTGTTTATCCCGTTCTTAATAATCATTAAAGAAAGAGATTTCACAACCACCTACTATGTAATGCATTCCAGCAATTCACAATTCCAAGTCTGGATTCCTCCTTATAATTATGAAGTAAGCTTGAAGTTAACAAAATATTATTCCCTTGTTTAAACTTTAGGTGTCCAAATAACTTGCAATATGTTTTCAGAAACAACTAATTTCTATTTGGAATATAGTTAATTTTTTAAGAACCTCCCCAAAGTCCCAAATTTATATCAAGTTTTTAAAATCGAAATATCATTCAAACACATCACTTCAAATTATTATTTCTTTTTTCATACTTCATAAAACAAGCTTTTAATGAAAATTGTGTTTTCTTGAAAAGTGAATGGAATAGATTTTGCTTGTGGTTTCATGATAATCCCTGTCAATTAATTTTTGCTTGTAAACCAAAACTAAAATAACTGAATAAGTATATCCTGCTTAAGCAATCTTACCTCTGAAATTTCTATTCTTCAGTCTGTTATAAATCTGCTGAGTAACAGACTCAGGAATGATATACTCATTTGTCATCTCCTCAGAGAGGATTTCCTGACGATACCTCTACAATAACCCTGACCCTTTATTTCTATATTCCATTAATCTTTCTTCTCTTCACCACACTTCTAATATTTTCTGAAATGCTGTTGTTTGTGAATTTTTCACTGGTTTATTTTTTGCCTGCCCTATTTGAAAGTAAACTTTTCAAGGGCAGAGACACTACTCACTCATTGCTACATTAGCAGTAACTATAAGATCAATTGCACATAAATGCTCAAAAATATTTGTTGACTAAATGAATTAGTAATACCACTTCCCCTGATGAGAAAGCAGAGAAATAGGGGCCAGTGGAATGACTTTAATAGAGGAAAAAGACAGAGTAAGGCATAATTGTGGTACGGATATTATTTTACAAGAGAACATGCTGAAAGCCATAGACCACGTATTGAGAAGCACTCATTTATTCCCCTTATCAACCTGTAAATAGGGTTTTTTGAACAAGTAGAAGAATTCTGTAAGGAGTTACGTCTTACTAATAGAGATGTCTGAAATAGACAGCTCTCTATGTGGACTAATATAATGGATCAAAACGACATACAGCAGAGTGTTGAGGATTGATGCAAACGGAGTGACTCCAATGCCTCCAGCCACGCAGAGGCTAACCTCATAGTTCAGTGACTCTTCAAACGGACTTCCAAAGGGACCATCAATATATAGCCTGTGGAGAAGGCAGTCAAGGAGGGAGAAAAATGAAAATGAGTTAAATTAAGTGGCTATAATATGTGGCAAGCATGTTAAATCTAGTGTCTAAGCTTTGTGATAGCCCAGGCCTCATTTGATTGTTTCTCATAGTGATAAATCTAAAGGAACAAAAAGTGTTGCTTATGAACTATCAATATAAAAACAAGTACACCAGCTTCAAAGCATTCCTATTTTGAGGGAAATATTAATTAATGTGAAGGGAAATGTAGATAGGACCATGAGGGTGAGCCAAGGACTAGTTAAAGCTTTGATTTATTTTATTACTATATATTGGACTAAATTAAAATATCTTGTTTTATTGTGTCTAAATTCAATAATGCTATTCTCCATGGTAAAGTCAAAAGCAAAAATATTTCCTGAAACCTTTACCATGTAAACAGAAAAGAAGCTGACCCTGTTTCCCTTCTTGCTCTGGTCAGGTTTTAGTATAGAGCCTACAACAATATCAAAGGAATCTCTTATTACTTTGTATATTCAAATATATGTGTGTGTGTGTGCATGTGTATGTCTATGTGTGTGAAATCCTTCTTAACTACAATGAAACTTGCTAACTGCTCACTCAATATTCATCCTTCCATTCTTTCTTATTTTTTTAAATTGACATATAGTTGATTTACACTGTTCTGTTAGTTTGTGTGTTTGTGTGTATAGCAGTGATTCAGTTATACATATACACATACCTATTCTTTTTCAGATTATTCCCCTTTATACGTTATTGTAGAATACTGATTAGAGTTCCCTAGGCTATGTAGTGTAGGTCCTTGCTGGTTATCTATTTTATATACAGCAGTGGGTATGTATTATTCTAAATTCCTAATTTGTACCTCCTTCCCCCTCTTTGGTAATCATAAGTTTGCTTTTTATGTCTGTGAGTCTATTTCTGTTTTGTAAATAAGTTCATTTGTATCATTTTTTTTTAGATTCCACATATAAGCATTATTATATAATATTTGTTTTTCTCATTTCACTTTAGCATAATAATCTCTAGGTCCATACATATTGCTGTAAATGGCATGATTTCATTCTTCTATGGCTGAATAACATTCCATTGTATATGTATATATGTAATTATATAAAATATTACATATATACATACCACATCTTCTTTATCCATCTATCTGTTGATGGACATTCAGGTGTTATTGCTTAGTAACAAAACACTAATGTTATTCAGGGAAGCAAAGTGCCCAGCTAAAATATTACACGTCCAAGACTGACTTGCATCAACTTTGGCTGCATAACTATGTTCAGCCTAATGTGATTTAAATGGAAGTGCAGTTAGAAAAAGTGCAGCCCTGTTTACAACAGCCGAGACATGAAAGCAATCTAAATGTCCACTGACAGAGGAATGGATAAAAAAGGTATAGTACATACATACAAGGGACTATCACCCGGTCATTAAAAATAATGAAATAATGCCATTTGCAGCAACATAGATGGACCTAGCGATTGTCATACTGAGTGAAATAAGTCAGACAGAGAAGGAGAAATATTGTATAATATCCTTTATATGTGGAATCTAAAAAGAAACGATACAAATGAACTTATTTATGAAACAGACTTAAAGAATGAGCTTATGGTTGCCAGGGGGGAAGAACAGGGGGAAGGGATAGTTAGGGAGTTTGAAATCACATGTACACACTGCTATATTTAAAATGGATAACCAACAAGGACCTACTCTATAGCAGGTGAGTGAACTCTGCTCAATGTTATGTGGCAGCCTGGATGGGAGGGGGCTTTGGGAGAGAGCGGATACATCTACATGTATGGCTGAGTTCCTTTGCTGTCCACCTTAAACTATCACAAGATTGTTAATCAGCTATACTCCAATAAAAAATAAAAAGTTAAAAAAATACCAATCACTCCATCCCTCCTTTTTTTCCTTCTTTTCTATTGAAATGTCCAATTTCAATAGACAACTGCAATTTCAATTTCAATAAAATAACTGCTGTGTTCCTTGATGAAAGTATAACCTCATAACTAAGACCTATAAACCAGCTAACCAAAATTTCTATAAATAGATTTTAGTGTAACAATCAAAAGAGGTATTTGCAGATGCCAAACAGAAGAAAAACTGGAAGGCTCCTTGAAGGAAGCTGTCTGCGTCTCTTTATCCCTGTCCCCTTCTTCCTTCCTTCTTGGTGCCTGAATACGTGTTGACTTGATGGCCTAAACACTTATCTTTGATGACTGTAAAATTGCCATACCCTCTGTGGACTGCCTAGTTCTAGATAACTTTATGTTTAAAAAGCCACATATATATGTAAAACACTGCCATTTTAAAGCTGCTTTCTTAGTAAAAATAACTTTCTTAAAAAATAATAACTGTCCAAAAAAGCAAATTTGGGTAGTCAGCCTAATGATATAAATATCTTTATTGTTAATATTGTTAATCTATCTCATTACTGTGGGGGGTTTCAGCCAAGAACATAGAAAGGTAAAGAAAAATTATTTTTCATTCTCAACACTTCTTAAAAGGTACAACAAAGGACATTTTATTTGACCAACAAAGAACAGAGTAAGGAATCATGAAGTTACCTCTTTCCTACTTATCTGCTTTCCAGCCCTCACACACACCCTTCCCACACCCTAAATAACTACTCTCTGATATTCTGAAATAACTCTAGGCAAGAAGACAGGAACATGGGGTTCTAGTCATTCACTAGCATTGGGATCACAGGCAAGTTACTTATCCTAACTCTGATTTTCTTCATCCAAAAAAAAAAAAAAAACAACGAACCAGTAGCAATTAGTACACAGAAAAAGCCTATTAAGAATTGCACAGGGCCGCAAATACCAGACATGCTTCAATTTAATGGCAGCAGCGAGTGCCTCCAGAGTACCATCAAGCCCTTGCAGAATCCAACATCAACACAAGAAATGGACTAAGTTCAGTGTGAGATGAGAGACGCACATAGGAATTTGATCTGAAGGAGATTAAATAAATGGGGGGAAATGAATGTGCTCTTATGTAATTCAACATATAAAAATGGAAGGTTTACTCTGAGTAAGGCACATTACTATCCGCTGCAGCAAAAAAAGAAATAGGAAAAAGGAGAAAAAACAGAGATTAGCAACTGAGTAATCGCAACTTCAGTCTTTAAGAAGGTTATAAAGAGGGAAGTGGTTAAGACAAAAGCACACACAAGTATGAAATAAAGCACAATTTTAGAAGCGTGTTATATAGCCATATTACATACATTCAATGCTTTGTACTTTTCACATATAATGCTATACCTGTAACATTTTGTGATGTGAGTACAATATTATTATCTCCATTCAATAAATGAGGCACTTGAGACCACAAGGGGCCATGACCAGTCTGAAGTTTCATGTCTCCTAGATGGAATGTTGAGGTGGGGATGGGGGACAGGGTGTAAGAAGACTAAAGAGTGAAGAAAGATGGACCGTATCTAGTTTGTAAAGAGAACCTGTTAGGTTGTGCAACTCAGATCTAAAGACAACTTTCTGCTCGGAAATAAGAGGTGCTTAGGTGACAGTCATGGGTCATACGTGAGAATTTTCTGGAACTAACCCTGCCTGTGTCCAAGGAGCAACGCAGGTGCACCACTGCCACCCAGCTGCTTTGTTTGAGCAGCCTGTGCTCCATCAGGCAGGGGATAAGTGTGAAAAAACACACAGATACTCTCTCAATGAGTGTGTGAAGCAAAGGGTGTCACCCAGCACCCAGTTCTCCAAGAACCAAGCCATAGCCACCGCCGTTGCTGACGATGGTGCACCCTGAAAGGAGCTCAGGGTCAAGATCAAGATGAGGAGGACTGTGCTCTGGGGAAACAGGCAAAAAGAAAAGAAATCCTTCATATGTAGTTAGAAGTATTTCAGGAGAAATTTTTATGAACCTGGATTCCTGCATCTTCCTACACTAGAAAAAGCACTAAAATCATTCATTGGTCTATCTGTTCCTTAGGCCTAATGGCAAGCTTCTACTGAGATGTGTGCTCAATTACACCGACCTCTTCATCAAAATCACAGGCATACTGGCCTCCACCCCTACCTCTTTGAAATAGTTTCTCAGAGCTACCTTAAAGGCTGTTTGATGGGCTACTTTCCTCACTAAGGTACTGAATTAATTCAATTCCCAGCTCTTACGTTGTACAATTTTTGTTTTTTTCCCAGTTGACAACAGTCTTCTTAGGGATATGAAAAGGAGTCTGTTTTTCTCAGCAAAAGTGATCTGGAGTCGAATTTTGGAATTGTTCAGGTATGGTTAAGTTTTGTAGCCATGCACTTACAAGTTAAAAAAGAAATTATTATTATAGAAATTCCAGCAAGGGATGAGGATGGGGGTGGAGAGGCTGAATAGTTTTGTTGTTATGATTCTGAAATGCTCTGTCCCCAGTTTCTCTGTGAACATAAAATTACTGTTTAATTACACATTTTGAAATGTGCAAGTTTCTTAGTAACTAAAATTTCACATTAGAGAACAGACTGAATATTGAAAATATATTCAATAAAGATATTTTATGTGATATGCTAGCCTTAAACATAAAAGACCTGGTGACTATTAGCTGTGCCCAATAGAAAGAGAAGGCTGAGAGGACAGTATATAAGGGTCAAAGCATATATGTTTTTTCTTAATAGGCATTAGGTAGATAATAACACTGAACAACTTTATAGCACCTTGAAGATTATGAAACACATCTCTATAAAGCTCTGGTTTGATCTCAGATCAATCCTGAGTTTGGCAAAAATGGGCATTTCTCCCTATATTCTCTTGGTTGTTGTGAAAGGAAATGTTATTTTTTAATGAAATTTCAGAGTATAACAAAGCTCTGGGGCAGTGAAGTTTCTATAAGAGAATAGCTATCTTTGAAGTAAATTAGACATCCCAAGGATTATCCTTCTAACCAAAATAAATGTATAGGCCTGATCTTTCTGCTTATGTAAAGATACTGCAGTGTAAAAACCAATAGCCTTTTCCTTGACTTTTCTGAC